CTTACAAAAGTACTCAGAGTAAGTGACTTCAAAGGGCCAAGATTAAGGATAATTGAGCCTGTAACTAATGCTGCTTTCAAGTCCTCCTGGGACGTTCGTACTTACGAGTTCACAAGTTGTAATTACGATGTCAGGTGCGTTCAAGTCAGTTTAGTCGGCACAAGATGGCGGTGTACCTTCTTTTAATAAGTTACAAGAATATACAACAGGGTCTGCATTTTTTTACTTGGATTTCAGCTGCGTAACAAGAACATGACCAATTTAAGTTTATAGGACAACTAAACTATCAATTTAAACGAAAATGTACCGTCAACTACAGACGTTGCATCCATCGATTCCGCCATGTTTCTCATTGACACACGTCCCCAACTCGAAAACTCTGGGCTTAAAGAAAATTTTGAGTTTCCCACTCGACTTTGTGGTGGCGTTCATGTGCGTTCAACTCGTAAATATGATCTATCCGACATGACTTGAACGCACCTTATTTTTAGGGTTTATGATGGGCAAGGAACTTAACAGGTGAGAAAAATACACACTAGGTCACTAGCTCATATAGTCAAAGTCTAAATATTAATTAAATGTCAGGGTTTGGTGGCCAACTCGAAAACTCTGGGCTTAAAGAAAATTTTGAGTTTCCCACTCGTAATAACGACTTTGTGGTGGCGTTTAGCAGACACTTTTGGATAAAAGTGTCTGCTAAACGACTAAATGTAAATGCAAATGTGTATTTACAAGTAATCTTTTATTTAGTCTACTAGGTTTTTCTCTGCTAACGATTCAATTCAAGTTTAAACACTTTTCAATCACGGGTCAAACAAGGTCAGTTTTCTAGGACATTTGCTTGCCAACTTTGTGGATACCAGCGAATACAGTAAAGTCTGAAATATATGTGCTGTTGCTGTTCATCCAACGAGCAGAACATTGTCCAGCTTATCTTGAATTAATATATTAAAGGACGCACGCAATTGTCAATGGTGACTAAAGTCAGAGCTATTTGCTGGGAGGAACGAGGCCAATCCCAAATCTAAAACATGGGCAACCTGCAGATTCTAATGGCTACCTTTCTGCTGTAAGTATCAGATTTATGCATTTGGCAAAACGTATTGTTTTCACATACTAAAATGGCTCATTTGGACTAGAACTACCTAAAAAAAAGCAATAGAGATATTAAAAACTTTCTCATGTTTTATTATAAAACAATATAAGCATATGTTTTTACACTTGCAATATATACAACAATCTGTGTTTGACAGTTTGTATCACCAATGCATCGAATGAAACAGGACTTCAAAAACACATTATAGTTAGCAAATTTAACGATCAACAGAGGCAAAAGTGGGCGTCATTTTGAAATGCAACATTCTACCATATCACTTCAATTTATGACTGTAGCATTTTATAGGACCCTAATGCATGGACAACTTAGGGCAAGAGAATGTAAATATAAAAATTTGAACAAAGAAATGCTACATGATTACAATATTCATATATCGCATGTTAGAGGCCTCATTTAATTGCATAGGGACGAAGAAGGATTGAGCCACCAATTCCACTTATTAGCTACAGTAAAGCTGATAGTACTACAAAGAAAGAACTGACAGTTTATAATATATTGAAACACAGTGAGCAATGAAATGGTATTGTTTGTATACTTAAATCTAATTTGAACATTCAGGTATTAGGGGCCGTTCACACAGAACATGTTTCTGCATTCCAAAACAGAAGGAAAAATGGAACTGGAAGATGAAAAGATGAACTACTTTTAACTTGACAGGCGACTTAATAGTGATGCCTATGATGTGAGATGCCACAAAAACAGCGATGCAATGGCCAAAGATGTCTGTCCAGCAAATAAAAACAGCACAGACTGAACTTTGTGAATGGCCCCAAGACCGTCAACTTGCAAAAATCCAGTTGAGATTAATAGTCAGTCTTTGTTCCAATATGGATTCCATAAAGGGCTTAACCCTGATTCTTCCACCGCTTTAAGGGGAAACTATTCAGTCCGCTTCCTTCCAAATACTGCCGACATGCTCCTCACGATTCCTTTGAACCCTGCAGGGCCCTTCTTGAGCGCCCTCGCCTCTCGGATGAGCTCAAACAGTTCGTGAAACACCATCAGCACACCGTGGTACGTCTCGGCAGCGGAGACCTCAAAAAACCCACAGTCCGCCGAGAGCGCCAGCAGCCGGCCCTCTTCACTGGACACTGTACGTCTGTGCTGGAGGTCTCTCTTATTCCCCACAATGATGACCTGAGCTGTGCTGGCCAGTTTTTGCTTGGCTTGTCGTATGCACTGCACTTTTTGCCGCACCACGTTGAAGCTGGCGCGGTCACAGATGCTGTAAACAAGGATATAACCGTCTGCCCACTGCAGCTGTCTGTTGCTGATATATCCCGACTCCTCTCCATTCTGAAACAAGACATTTATGCATCACTTATGACTAGCATGCATTTCAATTGTTGCTGGCCCTATACTAGTTACTATACGTTAGGTACTAGTACTTATTTGTTAGTTGCTAGCAAATATCCTCAAAAGTTATTAGTACATAGTTTTCAGATTTTTTTTTATGACACACAAAAATATATTTCCCAAGTATCAAATACAATTGCCTTTACTTTATAAATTTAACAAGTTATCAATAGATAAAATGGATAGTAGTTTATTTTAAGGAGTTAATGTTAAAATAGCTTGCCATATGTCATGCAAAACGCTTTTAATCATTATTTTATCTCGGAATGTGCAAAAAGATGCTTACCTGCGGGCAAAGTGAGTCCCATATGTTGAAACAAATATCACGGCCGTCGATCTTGTCAGCATGGCTGTATATTGATTCTGTGAATGAAAATAAACCGTTAAGCAAGGCTATTTTACGGCGAATCATCTGGAGATCAAGCGCAGTACGTGATTATGTTTACCTATATCTCCATATTCTCCTATGAACCGCCTGGTTAGAAAGCGCACGGTGAGAGCTGTGAAGAAGAAGAGCTTGTTAGGGCTCTAATTCAGACTAAATGCATAAAGACAGCAGGCAACATTTGCTGCAGAACTCACCAGACTTTCCAACGTTCTCAGCTCCAAGTAACACAATGTTGGCCTCCACTTTCTGCTGGCTGCCTTCCATGGTTTTGCTGCTGTAGCGAACGCGTGGTTTCACTTGAACAACCATTGGTGGGTAGTAAAGTCTGTTGGTAGAGTCCCACGGTGAGCAGGTGTTGAGCTTACAATGAAGCGCAGGCAGAAAGCGCGTTTAAAAAGGCTCGATGTGTGGGCGGGGCTTTCTCCAGACTGACCAATCAGAGCAAAGAGCGTCTGTTCTTCTTGAACCTTAATTTAGTACAGTACGTTTTTTTTAGCGCACAGGATTTTTTTTTTTTTTTTTAAGTTCAGTATTTAAGATCAATCAACAGTAAAACAGACCCCCCAAAATATCCTCCTGAGAACCAGAAATAAAACGCTTTGGGAATTTAGTATTTTTCATGTCATTACATTGTTTAGAGCATAAGAAAAAAATGGTAAAATAATCTCAGCCAAACTGAGCTATCGGGGGAGAAGAGCCTTGGTGAGAGAGGTAAAGAAGAACCCAAAGATCACTGTGGCTGAGCTCCAGAGATGCAGTCGGGAGATGGGAGAAAGATTTCATTTTATTTATTTTTGTGGTTTAAAAAAAAACGTGATGCATGTTTTTTGTCAGGATTTCTTTTAGTTCAGAAGAAGAGCATAAATGTATGTATGGTCACTTTGATCAATTCAATGCATCCATGCTGGAAAAAATAGGTGGGGGACGAGTCCATTAATCTCTGGCCTGGGGCGTATTTAAATCAATGTCCATATGTTAAACTTTAACTAGTTCTATTAGCTGTGCAATAATAGTCAAGTTTTTATTTAAGAACTTATGTAATGTGCTGTTTTTCTTCTAGTAAAATTTAAAATTATAATGATTAAAATCTTTGGAGTCCATCATAAAACAACAAGGAACGCAGGCAGTTAATATTTGTATGTTCTTTATGAAAGGAAAACTTGATCATCATGGTTAAGGGAACAAACAATTGCTTCAAAACCCACTACAGTAACCAATGTTTGTGGGTACATAGACAGGGAAGAATAACGGAGTAAGTTTCAAACTTGAATTCAAATGATTTACGGTGTAATTTTGGCATTTTTGAACAGTCTAACTGCGATGTCAAATGGTGCATTTATCTGTATTAGTGAATCCAATTTACTAAACACTGCATATGCACATGCACATTTTACTAACTGAAGAGTTTTATTGAATTATGACTTTTCAATTAAAATACAAACATATTCAATTTTAACAATAATTTGCGTTCATATGAAAATGATGCTGATACCTTTGAAATAGCTCAAATGATAAGAGTCTGTGCAATATTTAAAAAAAAATATTTAAAGGGGTCATATGATGCGATTTCAAGTTTTCCTTTCTCTTTGGAGTGTTACAAGCTCTTGGTGCATAAAGAAGATCTGTAAAGTTGCAAAGACTAAAGTCTCAAATCCAAAGAGATATTCTACCTAAAACAGCTCGTTCTAACACGCCCCCACATATCTACATCACGATGTGGGAAGATTTGCATAACGCTGGCCAAATGTTCACGCAAAGAAAGAAGGCGTAACTTGCGATGCCACGCAACGCGTAAAAAGACAGTGTAAGTCATTATAATCCATAATTATGTCCCCACTGGATGCAACGAATGCCTCGTTTATAATGGGTTTTAATGTTTTTGAATCATCGTTCCGGCCTGACAGGGCATCATCACAGTATGGTGAGGGCGTAACATTTCCGTCACACGCTTGAGGTATTCGGCCAATCACAACGCACTGGATAGCTGGCCAATCAGAGCACACCTTGCTTTTCAGACCGATGAGTTTTGTAAAAATCGACGCATTTCAGAAAGGCGGAGCATAGAGGAGAAACAATAATGTACAGTATGTGGAAAATAATGTGTTTTTTAACCTTAAATCGCATAGACACATTTCATTACACCAAATACACAAAATCATGTTATTTTTAGCAGCATCATATGACCTCTTTAATATGTCACGTCGATCGGTTCAGTCAATAAACTCGCTGCTAAGCTGAAGCTGAAACACCTCTAGATGCTCCTTCAGTCTCTCTCTGACATCTGCCGTGGGTCTCAGGTCCGACTGGTGTGTGAGCTGACCGTCTCCCCACGCTGTAGCTGTTACTACCGTGGAATCACACTTCACAGTCAGTCCATCCCTGTCTTCAGCGTCCTTTGACTGATATCTCTCCAATATCACCTGAGGCTGCACAGTCTCAATCACAGTCTCAACATCAACCCCGTTGCTTTCCCTCGCTTCGGCAGGAACCGGCATCAGCAGGACGTGATCATCAGCCCCTTCCTGTACCCAGAAGAACTGCTGTCCCTGCTGCTCCATGTCGCTCTTTTCCTTAGTGGCGAGGTCAGGGAGAAGAAGTCCTTGCTGCGGCTGAAGCACTTGGATTTGCTGCAGCTGGAATGGCGCAGAAGTTTCCTGTAGCGTTGTGGAGTACTGAACAGGCCCGGGCGCAGTGTGCATGCCAGTCTGTGGATGCAGCAGAGCGAGTTGCTGGATTTCTTCTGCATTGCTGTGAAGCTCTAGAGATGTTTCCTCCTCGCTGCTCAGCAACTCCATGGTGACCACCTGCATTGTGTCCTCGTTCTCTGCGCTCTCACAGTAATATAAATAGTAGCTTTGCTGCTCCACAGGCACTACCTCAGTCTTTGAGGTCTCTGACATTTGTTCTTTGAGCACTTTGGCTTTCCTTTTGATTTCCTGGATTCTCTTGGGCTCATGTCTTGTGTGGGATCCTTGACCCTCATCAGGTCCTACAGTTGCTTCTTTGTATCCACTTACTTTGTTTCCTTCATTGTCTCTTCCGCAATAAAAGCAGCACCCTTCTTCCTCTTCCCCAGCGACTTTTCCTTTTGTCTGTGCTTGTCCGTTCCAGCCCTCAGCCAGAAGGTCTATTTCATCATTTGCGCTCTCCTCCAATCCCTCAAGATTGCAACCTCTCTCCACCTTCGCCCCCTGTCCCTTTTGAGCAGCCCAGCTTGAAAACCTGCCTCCCTGGGCCTCCTTTCCTTTGGCTCTGTCTCGTGTGCGAAACAGCGTGCTTCGGAGTCGGTTCTCTCTGAGGCGCAGTAACGCGTGGCGCAGGCGGTTCTCTCGCCGTCGAGCGGCACTCAGAAGACGCAGTGCTTTTTCCAAGCTGTCGATGGCTTTGTCGTAGCGCTTGCGCCACACTAGAGGGCACAGCTGAGCGTAGTTGTGCTCTTTGGGTAAGTAAAATCCAGGAGGAGGCGGGAGACGTCTCATGTAGCGGGATGGAGAAGGTGGACGAGGAGGAGAAGAGGGGTCAGGTGGCTGCTTATCTAGCGCTGACGACTCCTCAGAGGTTTGAGGAGCCTCACATGAAGGCTGAGAAGAGGACTGAGCACGCTTCTCCTCCCCTTCGCCTTTTTCACACTCATTTTCTGCTACTTTTTGCAATACAGTCTCACTGTTGAAGATCTCCTGGGTTTCTGAGTCCTCATTATTGGAGGAGTTCTTGACACTGAAGAGATTTGGTGTCAAATATGCACATTTAGTATTTTAAACGGGTTAAAAAAAAAAAAAACTTTTGTGGAAGAGTATACTTTATCTGGGCACTTATCTGGAAATAAACTACTAAATAGAATATACTTGCGGTACACCTAATTGCATGTTAATTGTAATGAAATGAAAATGTATTATAGTTTAAAATTAGGGATGCACGATAAGGTCTGTTCTGATAGGGACAGGAACAGCAGGAAGCATATAATAAAATGCTAAAAGCATATAATAAAATGTTGGTAAATTTGACTACTGATTTGGAAATATGGAGTTGCACCTGTGAAAAGTGATCCCAGATTTCCTAATGTCTTTTGTGTCACGTGACTTGCAACCTACAGCAGAACAGTGTCTTGGCATCTAGGGAAAAACGAAAACAAAATTTTAATCAAATTTGTAAAAAAAAAAACAAATATTAAATAACACCACATGTGCACTACAGGGATGGCTAACTTTTATCACAGCCCCCAACATACTTTTTTTTTAATCACACAAATTTATCAATTATCTAATTAAATTAGTTTAGATCAAATAAAATGTCAATAAGATGCAGTTAAATGTAAATTGTAAAAATAAAAATCGGAAAAAATATTAGAAATACTGTATAATAAACTAATAAATAATAATAATGTAAAATAATAAAAATAACACCAATAATAATAAAGAGCTTCTGCATGTTGAGGAAACTTCAAGATATGTATCACATCGAGTCATTAATTTAACTTATTCATTTATTTTAGGTTTTGACAGACTGGTCCTCCAGACCTAAACACGGTTTCCTGAGTGGATTTACTTACAATTCCGTGGCAATTATTTGCTGACAGTTCACTTTTCTGTTTGAGCAGTTTTCCAAGCAGCCGAGTATCGGTGATCGCCCGCATCAATATATATATATAATAGTAATAATAATAATATGTCTCGATGTCAGCTCATGTATGTGATGTGTTTGGGACTGTAGTGTCGTCTTTAGGTTACTAACGTTACATAGCAGGCTACTGAAACAGGCGATAAATAACAAGTTGGTCATCTGAAACCAGTATAAGCTCATGCTATTCAATAACAATGCTGGCTGCCTTTCTGGAAAAGAATATACAGCGATTTCTCTCATTCAAAATCACCATTAAAGCTCACCACAAAGGCATGCGACCTCACGAAGATGGCCGTCTTCTTCCTCCTAGGCGCTGTAGATTAGCCCCGCCTTTCTGCAGCAGCCAATCACAGCTGTGCATTACTGTGACGTCGCGAGACGAGGACGTAAATGTGTGTTTTGAAGGGACGGACGACGCTGCTATGTCTTCAATCACTGACCTAACCTAACCTAACCTAACCTAACCTAACCTAACTAAAACTAAACAAAACAAACAGTGTTGGGGGTAATATATGACAAGTAACGCGAGTTACGTAATCAGATTACTTTTTTCAAGTAACTAGTAAAGTAACGCATTACTTTTTAATTTACAAGTAACTTATTTTCAAATAAGTAACGCAAGTTACTTTTTTCTCTCCAATTTATTGACTGACAGCTCTCCTGTCCCCATGTTGAGAGAAATCAGAAGATGTTACTGTAGTTCTAAAATAAATATGAATATGCATTAATTCATCTCACTCACAAAAAAACACAGATTCAGTATTCCTCAAAATGAATAAAAATAATGCAACTCAGAATATGACGCAAACCTGCAATAATTAAATGTTAAACAACACAAATATGCTTTATGTATTTAATCCCATTCTATTAACAATGTCTTTGCTTCTGACCTTCGATGATCCAGTTCAACCGTACTAATAAGCACAAATTACTCTAGACAACATTTGTGTGTCTTTGTTTATTGCTGAAGTGTGTTGAAATGTCTTCTTCTGCATTCTACTGTACGGACGTAAATGTACTTTCCCTTCAGCCTGAGGCTTATTCATTTCACTTTTGGTGTGAAAAGGCTTTTATATTTGCCAAAGATATAATTTTTTTATTTTAAAAACAAACAAGCAAGCCCCGTCCAGATGTAAAAAGTAACGCAAAAGTAACGTAACGCATTACTTTCCATAAAAAGTAACTAAGTAACGTAATTAGTTACTTTTTTATGGAGTAACGCAATATTGTAATGCATTACTTTTAAAAGTAACTTTCCCCCAACACTGCAAATAAATGAGTTCATTTTAAATGTGGTTTTAAAATGTGCACTTGGAGCAAGATCTTGAAAGGTAGGTAAAAGTATATAAGCATATACAACCATATGATATAAAGCATATAGCAGCATATAACTATGCTTTGCATTATGAATCACCTTAATTAAAAACAAACAAACATTTATTTCATTGTAACAGCACTGGTTTTGACATCTCATCTTGACGGCTCAAATATTTTATATAGCAAATAGGCAAGTCCTATGGTAATGTGTGGACAAGTGTATGGTTATTGCTACATTAAGTTTGATTATCTTATGATAAGTCCCAAAGTGGTGTGCATGAGAGAAGTGCTAAATGCACTTCATTTCAGCTCATCTGATGTGTGAAACGCTGAAGATCAGAAACATACGTGCAAGCCACAAACACTTAAACATATCACAACAATACTTAGAAGTGCACAGGAAATGCAGTTTCCTGGAGTTTCCTAAGCAAGCAATAATATTAATTGCATGGTCATATGCTCGGTCTATTTAGTCTTAAGCTTAATTATTTAACATAATTTACTAAATACTGTACATTGTTACTATTGTGAACCAAAAGGAAGTTCATAAAGCAAATGCATTTAGAGGATCATATTCTTGAATGTAATACTAAAGCTCTTCCTGATTGCAAACCGTGCTCATCAATTCAAATTCATAAGCCTCAAATAGAATGGTTCTTTAACCAGTTTCTATAAAGTCATATTACTGTCCTTGATTGATTTAAATATATGAATCTACAAATGCTTGAAGATTATAATAATTTTTTATACCACAGTGGAGACTTATTTGGATTGGTTGACGAACATTATAAGGTGAAGTTATCTCATAGTACAGCTATGAAGCAGTTCTAGTTCTGTCAACTGCATTAGATTTCCAAATTACTGTCAAAATATTTCAGTAATTTCAAAGGTCCTTACAGCTTACAACAAAAGAACCAAAAACCAACAAAGACACTAAGCAAATATGAGCAACAATAGAATAAAAAATAAATAAATTTTCGCAACAAAATTACCTTACATTATCTATGCAAAGCTCTCTCTCTCACTCTCTCTCTCTCTCTCTCTTTCTGCACGTACACACATCAAAGTCCCTTTCAACGAAAGTCTGTTCAATTGGCAGCAATATTTGCAACGCCTCCGGGCAGTTATTTGAGGCCTGCAAGAAGTCCTATCTTCTTGAATAGGGAGATCCTGAAATCTCAAAAACTCCTTGCCACACTCATATTTAAATAACATATTTCAAATGAGCAACCAAATCTAGCATAATCTGTACCATAAATGTTTTATTTTATGCTCAAATAAAATTTATGCTCATGGCTGTGTCCGGAATCGCCCCCTATACCCTTAAATATATTTTTGTATCATTTGTAGTGGTGTCCGAAATGAAAGTGGACGTTATAGACTGCACTTATCCTATAATGCAATAATGCAATAACAAGTGTACAACCAATGTAAACTCAATGGCTAGAGAATACCCATAACTACTGAGCTATTTTTGTTCCATTATTCCTAATAAATAGATTATGATCCACAAATAAATGTAAAGAGAGTCACAAAAATGAAACAACTTAAAAAATAAATAGAATGAGATCAACAAATATATGTCAGAGTTTCACAGACATGAATTAAATTCACAAATAAATACAATGAGATTTGCAAATAATAAAATAAAATAAAAATTACAAATATGTTTTTATCTCACAAACACAACCCTGCCTGGGATTCATTTGTAAATCACTTCCTGCACATTTGTGTATGGCTTCCTGTCTATTTGTGCTACACACATTTGTTGATTTTGAAAAAGTTCTAGCTTGAAGATGCACACAAATCCACAAATAGGTGGAATCCACCCACCATCTACCTAAGTCAATCAGATAACAGCTACATTGTGCTGACCAATTGTAGCATATTCTTATTGCTGCCAAAGTATCTAGTCTTTACAGTGCTTTGTTATATGGAGCTGTTAGGTATTGGTAGATCGCAATCTATCTAATTCGCTTGTCTAATAAAGTGCTTCAGTAACAGATGAGATGTATGAAAGTATAGGCTACAAGTTACACCGTAATTAAAATGCAGCAGACTTTAATGGACAGTAAAACAAAGGCAGAACACTGTGTAACTCCAAGCCAGGACTGTAACTTCATATTGATGCGTGGCTAAACAAATGCAGAACGCCGTAACTCAATTTGAGCGTTCCAAACACAGTCAAAGAGCGGTAACTGCTGTTATACGGTGTTCTACCTTGGTTTCTCCGGGGCTTTTTGAAGTCACGGTTAAGACAACCTATTATTTTCTTGGAAAAATAACGAAACTGACTCAAGATACTTATCCACATGATAAAGGATGTCTTGAATGTCCCAAAAATATTGAAGTTATGGTCTTTCATCTATAATGTCAAATGGGGCAGGAGCAGTACTGCCTGTAGCTTTTGCATTTTGTAAAAAAAAAACCCCACATAGATCTGTCTTTATGAATGCTTTATTAACGCAAGAATGCTGAAAGGAAATGGCAATATAAGTAAGCAAAAGTTACAGATACACTTTTTTTCTAGCAGATGAAAGTGCAGTTAGGCTGTTAGGCTTCATGCATAAAAGAGGGATTCAAAATTCAGGTCACAGCATCATCAGCTTTTTAAAAGTACTCTTGAAATGTAACTTATCTGAGTTATTGTGAGCTAATTCAAGCCTCTGCATATCTTTAACCAAAACACCATTTCTTGAGCTGAAAATATCAGCCAGAGGGGCAGCCATTGGAGAAGGTCTGTATTCATTACACTCAGGGCCCTGCAGACTGGGAGCACATTTCACTTCATAGGTAAAATAGAAGATGCCATATTTAAAAGCACAAGCATCAGTCACAACTCCACTTCTAAGATGAAAAGAGCATGTACCAAGGAAGTCGCTGTTCCAGGAGCTGTCTGCATGATATACTGTAAAAGTTAGTTTATTGGCCATTCTGATCTTAATAGGACCAAACTCAAATGTTTCTGGCCAGCGTGGATTGTCATCAATAGTCTCAGTGCGCTTGATTTGGTTGTCATATGTAACAGTTACAGTGCCATCTGTTTGTGTAGATCTATCTCCATACAGACCTTTGGCACTGAGACTGTAGACTTTCAGGGTCGCAAGTCCTTTTTCAGTTGGACAGCAGTTAGACTTATAATTTGACTACTTTCACAAACACAAGCACATCGGTCTCTTGCGCTGCACTTCCTGCCAATCTTGCAAGGCTCAGAGCAAACCATCATAAGGGCATTTTCAGTGATGTATTCTTCAACAGCTTTCTTCAGTCCTTTCCTGACAGGGTGTTCAGCACTCAGTAAGAAATGAAGGGGTTTCAGAGAGTAATGCACAACTTCAGGGAGACTCTTCAAAGACTCAAGCCATTTTTTTAAGGGAATCTAGGTTTGATGAACCAGAAAAACGTAGATCTTCTCCATTTTTGTCTCCTCCAATAATTTCCATTTTACGATCATTAAACATGGAGCTGAATTTTTCATTTGTGGCCATCTTCTTTTTATTTTCTTTACAAAAATGTGCCTCTGCCTTCACAGTTGCTACACTGTAAGAACCAGAGGCTTCTACATCCAAACAGTCCTTCACTGCAGTGTCTGTAAGTCCACACACTGCTGCCTGACAGCTTTTGATGGCTGTTATGGCTTTCATTTGCCCTCCTAACTTGACACTTGTGGTATGGTGAGTGCCATATGTGCTGATCAGGTCGCGGTAGGCGTCTGGATCGTATTTGATTGCTTCAAGAAACTCTGCTTGAAGAGGTGGCTTTGCAGCTACACGATATCTGTAAAGAAACAGTAAACACATTTAAATTTAGTGGAGACAAAGAAGGAACAATTTGCAATTTAAGTTTTAATTTCACAGTCATTTTATTTCATAGTTTTTTTAACAGTATGAGTGAAGAAAAACAGCCTGTTTGGTGAAACTGTATTTGTCTGCTTTTGATTTTTTCATTGCAAAATTTGCTTCCCAGGAATGAGTGCTTCCAACCGCAGCTACACCTGCCTTGACATCTACCAACTTTCCAGCTGACCGA